GTTTTGTTTCCTCATCATTCTGAACTTTAGGCTATTGTTTCATTGTCACCCGGTTTCCATGATTTCGATGAGAGTCCTTGGTCTTATGACTGTTTTTCTTTGGCTGCTTTCGAGATAGTATCTTTATCTTCGGTTTTCAACAGTTTGACTACAATGTGCTTAGGTGTGGTTATCATTTTGTGTACATAAGTTGGGATTTGCTGAACTCCTTAAATTTGTAAATTTGTGTCTTTCATAAAACTGGGAGGTTTCTGACCATTATTTCTTCAGATAATTTTCTGCTTTAATTTATCTTTTGTTTCTTTCCTGGGAGTCCAATTACATTACTTAAGATGTTTTCACATTTGCTCCAAAAGTCCCTGAACTCTGTTCCTTTTTCCATTCCTATTTTCTTTGTTTTTCAAATTGGGTAAATTCTACTGATCTGTGATCAAGTTCACTGACTCTTTCCTCTGTCATTTCCAGTCTATCTCAAAGTCCATCCAGTGAATATTTTTCAGATATTTTAGTTTTCTATTTAATTTTTAAAGTATTTTCTATTACTCTACTGATTTTTTTTTCTCTGTTTATTACAAGCATTATTTTCCTTTACCTGGCTGATCTTAGTTATAGGAGCTGCTTTAATCCTTGTCTGATAATTTTAACATCTAGATGATCTAGAGGCTAGCAGCTATTGGGTATTGTTTTATTTGTTTGTTTCCAATGAAAATAGGTCACATTTTTCTGCCACTTCATATATTCAGTAATTTTGCTTTGTTTTCTGTTTATAGTGCTTTGTGGCGAAGCCTTGGATTCTCTTGTATTCCTCCAAGAGTATTGATGTTCTTGTTTTAGAAAGCAGTTAATTTGATCCAACTCAATATCACCCTTGCAGTTGGCAGTGATTCAAGTCTTAGTTCAGATTGCTTTTATTCAGCCCCATGCATGTACGGTTCAGGGGTCAGCCAATGTTGTGTAAATTTTTACACACAGTCTGTGGTTTCTCTTCTCTGCCTCTCCATATTCTGGTATTTCACAGTCAGCCAGAGCAATGTTTAACCAAATACCTGGGCGCCCTGTGACCTGGTCAAGTTGATACATAAAATTAACTATCACACCATATTAGGCTCGTTGTTATGTTTTGGAAGACACACACTGTTCACGTAAAGAATTCTGGTTTACTCTTCATTAACTGTCATGCAACTTAAAGTTACAAACCATTGACAACAGTTTCTTCTTTCTGCACTGTAGTCCCTCAGATCTACCTATATTTTTAATCCTCCTTTTCCCTAATAGTATTGTCATATAAAACTTTCTGTGATGATGAAAATGCTCTATATTCTATATCTCCACTATCCAATACAGTTTTGAATTTGCTGCATGTTGCTTTGAACTCTTGACATGTAGCTAGTGTGATAAAGAATTGAATTCTTAATTTTAATTAATTTTATTAAATTTAAGTTTAAACAGTCACATTTGGCTAGTGGCTATTGCATGGACAGTGCTACACTAGAACATATTTTTGCTTTCTTTGTTGAAATGTATTAGTTATCTGCATGTCCTCTTTGGAAAAATATCTATTCAGGTCTTCTGTCCATTTTTTATTCAGGTTGTTTGGTTTTTGATGTTGAGTGAACTGTTTATATATTTTGGATATTAACCCTTTTTGGTCATATCATTTGCAAATATTTTCTCACTTTCTGTATATTGTCTTTTCGCTTTGCTGATGGTTTCCTTTGCTGTGCAAAATCTTTTAAGTTTAACTAGGTCCCATTTGTTTATCTTTGCTTTTATTTCCTTTGCTTTAGGAGATGGATCCAAAAAAATATTGCTACAATTTATGTCAAAGAGTACTCTGCCTATGTTTTCCTCTAGGAGTGTTATGGTTTCTGGTCTTACATTTAGTTTTTTAATCCATTTTTTTTTTTTTTTTTTTTTTTTAATTTTTTTTTTTTAATCCATTTTGAGCTTATTTTTGTGTATGCTGTTAGGGAGTGTTCTAATTTCATTCTTTTACATGTAACTGTCCAGTTTTCCCAGCACCACTTATTGAAGAGACTGTCTTTTATCCATTGTATATTCTTGTCTCCTTTGTTGTAGATTAATTGACCATACATATGTGAGTTTATTTCTGGGCTCTCTATTCTGTTCCATTGATCTATGTGTCTGTTTTTGTGCCAGTACCGTACTGTTTTGATTAGCTTTGTAGTATAGTCTGAAGTCAGGGAGTGTGATTCCTCCAGTTCTATTCTTCTTTCTCAAGACAGTTTTGGACATTTGGGGTCATTTGTGTTTCCGTACAAATATTAAGGTTATTTATTCTAGATATGTTAAAAATGCCATTGGTATTTTGATAAGGATTGCAGTGAATCTGTAGATTACTTTGGTGAGTATGGTCATTTTAACAATATTAATTCTTCCAGTCCAAGAACACAATATATCTTTCCATCCGTTTGTGTGGTCTTCAGTTTCTTTCATCAATGTCTTATAGTTTTCAGAGTACAGGTCTTTTACCTCCTCATCCCTAGATATTTTATTCCTTTTGATGCGATGATAAATGGGATTATTTCCTTAATTTCTCTCCCTGAAATTTTGTTGTTAGTGTATAGAAAAGCAACAGATTTCTGTATATTAATTTTGTATCCTGCAATTTTACCAAATTCACCAATGAACGCTAGTAGTTTTCTGGTGGCATCTTTAGGATTTTCTATGTATAGTATCATGTTATCTGCAAACAGTGACAGTTTTACTTCTTTCTTTCCAACCTGGAGTTCTTTTATTTTGTTTTCTTCTCTGATTTCTGTGGCTAGAGGACGTGCAGATAGCCATCAGGAACATGAAAATATGCTCAGTATCACTAATCATCAGGGAAATGCAAATCAAAACCACAATGAGATATCACCCACACCTGTCAGAATAGCTGTTATCAAAGAGAACAAAAATAATAAATGTTGGTGAGGATGTGGAAAAAAGGGAATGCTCGTACACTCTTGGTGGGAAAGTAAATTGGTGCAGCCACTGTGGAAAACAGTATGGAAGTTTCTCAAAAAACTAAAAATAGAACTACCGTATGACCCAGCAGTTCCACTCCTGCTTATGTATCTGAAAAAAAAACTAAAACACTAATTCAAAATGATACATGCACCCCACTGTTCATAGGAACATTATTTACAATTGCAAAGATATAGAAGCGACCTAAGTGTCCATCAACAGATGAAAAGATAAAGAAGATGTGGTACATATATACAATGGAATATTACTCAGCCATAAAAAATAATGAAAATTTGCCATTTGCAGCAACATGGATGGATTTGGAGGGTATTATACTCAGTGAAATAAGTCAGACAAAGACAAATGCTGTATGGTATCATTATATGTGGAATCTAAATAATACAACAAACTAGTGAATATAACAAAAAAGAAACAGACTACCATTTATTGAGAACAAACCTAGTGGTTACCAGTGGGGAGAGGGGGAGAGGGAGGGCAATATTGGGGTAGGGGATTAAGAGGTACAAACTATTATGTGTAAGATAAGCTGTACAACACAGGGAATATAGCCAATGTTTTATAATAACTATAGACGGAGTATAACCTTCAAAAATTGTGAATCACTATATTGCACGCCTGTAACTTATATAATGTTGTATATCAACTATACTTTGATAAAAAAGTAAATAAATAAAACAAATGTAGCTGAGTAGCAAATTTCTCCAATACAGTTGTCCCTTTGTATCTGAGGGTTTTGCATCCTCGGATTCAACCAACTGTGGATCAAAAATATTTGAAAGAAAATGCCAGAAATTTTCAAACAGTAAAACTTGAATTTACTGCCTGCCAGCAACTATTAACATCATATTTACATTGTATTAAATACTATAATAATCTAGAGATGATTCAAAGTATATGGGAGGAGGTACATAGGTTATATGCAAATACTATGCCATTTTATTTTTTTAATAAATTTATTTATTGTATTTATTTTTTTTTGGCTGCGTTGGGTCTGTTGCTGCCTGCGGGCTATCTCTAGTTGCGGTGAGCAGGGGCTACTCTTCATTGCGGTGCGTGGGCTTCTCATTGTGGTGCCTTCTCTTGTTGCAGAGCACGGGCTCTAGGCACATGGGCTTCAGTAGTTGTGGCACATGTGCTCAGTAGTTGTGGCTCACAGGCTTAGTTGCTCCGCAGCCTGTGGGATCTTCCCAGACCAAGGATTGAACCTGTGTCCCCTGCATTGGCAGGCGGATTCTTAAGCACTGTGCCGTCAGGGAAGCCCCCAGTACTATGCCATTTTATATGAGGGACTTGAGCATCCTTGTATTTTATTGTCCACAGAGAGTCCTGGAAACTGAGGGACAGCTGTAATTTGCTTTGATTTATTCAGTTAATTAAGTAATAATTTATAGGGTGACACTATGTGTAAAATTTCATGGTAAGCATGATTTTCACTGTCGTTCTCAGTCTTAGCATCTTTTTTAAAAGATCTTTTTTCTGTTGTTTTTTTAATATCTGAACGTTATTGGTCTTCCAACACACACACACAGTCAAAATCCTTTTATCTTTACTGTCATATAAAATGTAAACTAATGTGTTCTCCTCACAAACAGTCACTGCAGTCATTCCCCTTTTACCAATCTTTCTAACTATGTTAAAATTATTTTATGTCCATGTTTTTTTTCCATGGAAGCTGTTATTACAAACTAACAGTTGTGCTGCATTTCTGAAGGTTTCTGCCCCTCCAGTATTTTCTGGGAAAATTATTTTTAAGCTTGTCAAGAGACTTCCCTCTTAATCTCTGCTAATTTCCTAAGTGTTGATAATTACCACTGATTGAATTAGGTATTGTTGATCTCTTTTATAGAAATAATAACTATCTTTAATAGTAAGACCTCACAAAGAATGATTTCATATGCTTAATTTTAAACTGTAAATATGACCATTTCACACACTGACTGATGATTTTTACTTAATATATTATAAAATTTTCAATTTATCTCATGATAGTTTGATTTTTATCATTTCAGGACCACCAAACAATTTTGAGAGCATGGGCTGTAAAAGATTTTGCTCCAAATTGCCCTTTGTATGTCCAGATCTTAAAGCCTGAAAATAAATTCCATATCAAATTTGCTGGTAAGTTTGGCCTTGAATGAGATCCTTTGAATTGCCTCAAATTCCCATTTTGATTGTAAGAGTTATGTCTCTGAAGTTAGTGGTAACTTATTACATTCATGTTTCTGTAGAACAGAAGAATTTCCTTTTTATCATCTACTTGTTATGAGGATTTATTCACTTTAAAATGTGAATCTTTGTGGTGAATTTTTACTTTTTTATATAATTTGGTTATTTTAGTAACCGAACTTGCTGGATACGTTAGTAAGCTTGAATAGTTTAGCCGTGATTAGTTGAGTACATAATATAGACACAGGTTTCAAATGTTCTACGTACTAATTTATACTTATGTTTGCATATAGATAGACAATACTTTGCTATAGATCATTTTGTATACATATAAACTTACCACGGAATAGAATAATATAATATATTCAAGTATTTTAAATAGACTTAATTTGGGGGTAGATTTTGAAAACAATTCAAGAACAAGATACATGTGAATTTTTCATTCAGGCGCTGCTTTTAAAATAACTATCCACAAGACATTATACTTTAAACTGTTAGAAAATTGAACAGTAAAATGATACTTTATTTTTTTCTTAAGTGCTTCTGTAGGAATTGATTTTGATCCAGGCAGTAATTTATATACTTTTTTTCAAATATAAGAACCATTTTTATAAAATTTCACCTTAATGGTCTAAACCTTCAAAAGTCGTTAAAATGTAAATCATTTTAAGTATGCATTTGCAAAATGTATGTCCTTCAGAAGATGTATTCACATACCTTAAAATGCTTACCTATTAGCATATGATATTTAAAAGAAACATTATAAACACTAAGAAATTTTAAAATAATGATGAGAATCATGAAATTATTGCTATTCAATTTTCTCTGACTCTTATCTTTTAACCTTGCTGCTAATGACATCACTTTTTTCTAAAAAAGTATAGGAAACAACTTAAAGCAATGACTCTCAACTTTGGCAGCATTTTACAATCTGTTTTGAAGATTTTTTTTTAAAGTACTAACCAAAGATTCTGAGAATTTAAATGGTCTCTGTGAATTTAAATGGTTTAGATGGTGCCAGGGTTTCTTTAAGCCTGTTTCCTAAACCGAAAATTAAAAGTAACAGTGCCTCCTTTGTAGACAATCTTTTGAAATTGAATGGAAAAATACATGTAAAGTATTCCATTCTTGGCCAGTTACATTTGTTATTAACATTCAAGAAGTGCCAATTATTTATCTAAAAAAACGTTTGTAACTAAGCTGCCTTATTTTTATTATTATTTAGGAAAAGGAATATTTTTGTGAAATCTTCATACCTCATAATGACTTGGTATGATAAAATTTTTAGGAAGATAGTAATGGCACAGCACTAAAGTTCTTAAAAATATATTTAACTTTGAGTGCCAACATTTAAGATTTAGCTCAGCATATTAGTATTTTTGCTCCTATATTTTTCTCTTGTTAAATGACCATAATATTATAATGTCTCTATTCCATTGTTTAGAATTAGCAGTAAGGATTAAATAAATAATATCTGAAACATATTAGGTCTTCAATAAATGAACATTGAATGTGGATCTTAAAACAATATGTCGTTTGGGGAAACAATTTTTACTTTTGAATGTGCTATAACTAAAATTCAGAGCAGATTTTAGTTTTTCTCCCTTTAGCAAGCCATTGATGTGCTCACAACAGACCAAACTCACTGAAATTGTCTATTTTACAAACAAACCATTTTACAAAATGATTTGAATTGATTCTTTCACATTTTTATTTTGCTGTTATTTCGATAAATCCATCAAAATGAACAGTTTTAAAATTCTATCCCAATAGTTTATCTCATTATTTCTCATTTATGGCATCTGCTGAAATTCGTTTTAATAATGTCTGTATTCTTTTATGGCTGAGATTAAAACATCTCAGAGGAACTCTTTTTATAATATGAAAAGATGAAAGCACCCTGGTTTCATTAAAATGCCATAAGAAACAGTTTGGGGTGATGTATGAGACTCTCAAACCAATATAATATGCTTTATATCTCAGCATGAGGTTAAAAAGATTATGGACTTAACCTTTCAAAAGGCAGTGTATCAAGCTGTCATTTCGTTGGTGTGGTAGGTTGTTAAAATAATGGCTTCCAATGAGCCATGCTCCCTGTGTCTGTGTCCTGTTGTGATTCCACGTTGTGGCTTCTTCCATGAGGAGGTGGAATCTATTCCTCCACCCTTTGAGTATGGGTTGTCCTGTCACTTGGCTTTGACCAATGTACTGTGACAAAAGCGACATTGTGTGACTTTAGAAACTAAGCCTTAAAAGGCCATCCAGCCTTTGCTTGCCTTTCATGGGAACACCGCCCAGAGACTGCTTGTGAAGAATCCCGATTTAGTCTTTCCAAGGATGAAAAATCACATGGAAAGTGAGGCTCATCCATCCCTGGCACCCCACCTCCCTAGCTCCCAACTCACCCATCAACCAACCCAAAAATCCATGCTGACCCACAGAATGTTGAGAAATGAAATGATTATTTTAAGTCACTAAATTTTGGAGTCATTTGTTATACAGCAATAGATAATGAATACTGTTTGTAATAAAATAATAATTGCTTTAATCTTAAATCATATTTACTTGGTAATATTCATTATATTTTTGTCCTTGTAGTCTCATGAGTATTAAACAGCATGATTCCAATTATCACAAGATATAAAATATATTTTTATTTCCATTTATTTAATTACTTTCTTCAAGTCCCCTAAATTGTGGAACTCCTAGCATGACTATCATTGATGTATTTTTTTAAAGTAAATCCACGTTTTTAAAATATGAAAGGGAGGACTTCAAAAGTCAACTGATATGTATGGAAAATATTAGAAAGCAAAAACATATGTAGCAACCTAGTAACTATTACTTTATGCAGATATACCATTTATATAATTTATGGATCATTTTCTCCTGAACAAAAAGACTGTAGGCATTCATTAAAGTAAATTATGGAATTGTTACACTATTATTTGAATGAATTATTATAGTATTAATTATAAAAACAATTACTATATGAATTATTATAGTATTAATTATAAATACAATTATTTTCTACATTTTGATCAGATTCACAGAAGAAAAGTCCATATGGACATGATTTCAGCAATAGAAAATATATGCTCTTACTCATGTCAACAAGAGAGAAAGTTAACATAGTGAGCCTAGAGTTAGAAAGAACAAAATCCTCAGGAAAATAATAGTTACAATAAAAGATTTCTGAATATGAGCCCAAGTATAAATTGTAATGATTCAAGTAAAATAAAAATATCCTTCACAGATAATTTGATTATTTTAATCACCACAATTTTCAAGAAGAAAATAAACACAAATTGGTTCATAGAAAAACAGTATTTATTTTCAGCAGTTTGCCCTTTTTTATAATAAATTTGTCAAAGTGAATAGATACATATTGCAAATTCTGGAATGAGGCTGACCTCAGTCAAATCTTTGTTCTATTATGTAATGACTGCATGATCTCAGGCTTCTTGATCTCTCAAGGTTGAGTTCTTCAATATGTACAGTGAGGGTAATAAGAGAAACTATCCCATAGGGTTGTTATGATTAAAAAAATTACTCAAAAGAACATCAGCCACTAGTAATTAGTACCTATCAAATTGATGATTGTCATGAATCTTGAATACCTATGTCTCACCCTCCTAATAAGTCTGTATTATCTTTGTCTCCAGGAAAAGTAACTGAGGGTTTCCCATGAAGCTTTACAAAGAGCTTATTATAGACATTCAAAGAGCACATAATTTTCAGTTTGCACATATTTTCCAGAGAACAGAAAAAGAAAGATGTCTCCCTAACTCATTGTATGGGATTATGGCCTTGATACAAAACTCATTAAGCATAGTATGGGAAATGATAATTAGAGACCAATTTAGTTGATTAACATGGTTGAAAATTATAGAAAATATATTAGCAAAGTAATGTATTTAAAAAATAATGTATCATCACCAAGTTGGAATTATTCTAGAAGTAGATCATCATTTCAAAGAAGAAAATATTATTATTATTTCAATGGATACAAAAAAGCATTTGAGAGAGAATTCAACATCCCTTCAAAATTTTAAAAACAGAAAAACATAAAATGCTAGGAAGCTACAAGTAAGGAACTTCTTAACCTAAGGCAGGCTATCTACAAAATAACCTAGAGGAAAACAAATATTTAATGGTCACATATTGAGAGTCTGTCTTTAAGATTATGTACAAACAAGGATGCCTACTAAAACCACTTTTACTCAGCATTGTCCTGGAAATCCTAAGGCATGCGGTAAGACTACAAAAATAAATAAAAGGAATAAGTATTGGAAAAAGAGAAATAAAATTGCCATTATCCACATATCATAAGATTTTCTATGAAGAAAATTCAGAAGAATTTTCTTTTTTTCCTAGAATACCTTTTCCTTAGGGGAGCTCATCCATTTATTTGATTTCCAAAACTGAGTCTCTCCCTCAAATATCCACTATGAACTCCTGTCTTGTTCCTCTAAATAAATAGTCAGTGTCTCCTGTTAGGTTTCTAATAGCTGTCTCAAAATTAAGATATCTAGAGATAGTTACTGATTTTCCCTGACCTAAAATCTGTTTCACCCCCATTCTTCCCAGCAGCATCTATTAATACTTAGAACTCAAGCCCAAAACCCATGAGTCTTTCATTATTCCATTGTTTGTATCCCGTCCATCAAGTGGTGTATGGTTCCACTCCCTGAATATCTCAGGCTTATCCACAGACACAACCCTTGTCCATGCCATAATCAAGTTTTACTTAGGCTGTTTCAAAACACTCCCTTTCCTTTTTTTCCTGAGTATTCACAAATTGTATCTATAAACTTATTGCTGCTCTCATATTCCCATCATATTTTCAATAATGAATGTCATTTGTGTATTGTAGGAGACAGTTACATCTTCATACTATCGATGTCAGCCTAGACTCACTGTTTCCTCCTTTCAGTATATGGATGCCAGCA